TTGTCCTGAGCCAGGCATTCCACACCCTACATGGCCAGGCCCCACCTCCCTTTGTGGCCTTCTCTCCCCATGGCCTTGCTAGCTGCACTCAGCCGCGCTGAATCACTGCGGTTCCATGGGCACCACCCTCTCCTACTCTTGGATCTTGGTACACGCTGTTCCCTCTGCCTGCAACAGACCCTCCCTCCACCATTCCCGGCTATTCCAGCTCACCAGTCAGGGGTGGCCTGGATGCTCTGTGAGTCTCCTCACCCTGATGATGGCGGGGGAGGCACCTCCTCCCATAAGTTCTTTCTCACTTGTTACGGATATTTCCAAACACACACAAAAGTAGAGAGGACAGTCTAACAGACGCCCTGAGAACCATCACTCCATGGCAACAATTATCAACACAGTCCATGCTTCTCCTCACAGCATCCCACCCGCCAGGGCACCACAGTCTGCCCCCACTGCCGCAATGCAAGTTCCTTTGGCCAGGACAGTGCCTCCACCGCCCCCCGCCCCAGCCTCAGGACATTAGCACAGGTCTTGGCCCAGAAAAGACCCTCAATCAAGAGTCCCCATTTGTTGAGCATTTGCTGTAAATTCAGAATCTAGTTCACTGAATCCTCAGAGCACCCCTGGGAGGCACGGGCTATTATAACCTCCATTTACAGATTGGAAAACTGACGCTCGGGTTACAGAGCCGGTCAGTGGTGGAAAGCAAGCCAACGCGGTCTAATTCAGGAATGGAGCTACCCATAGAAATAGAATGCAAGCCACAGGGGTTATTCTAAATTCTCTAGTAGCCAATAAAAAGGTGAATTAATTTTCATAATATGTTGTATTTGGCTCAGTATATCTAAAATATCATTTCAACATGCCATCAGTATAAGGCATTATTAATGAGATATTTTACCACCTGTTTTGCATACTATGTCTTCAAAGTCCTGTGGGTTATATGTACAGCACATCTCGATTCTGACTAGCCACGTCTCAAGTGCTCAAGAGCCACTGTACTGGCCAGCACAGCTAGTGGTCACCTCCCGGACAGGGGCCCTAGAGCCTCCCTCCCAACCACTTCTCCACTTAAATGAGTGAAGGAGAAAATGAGAGAACAGGACTCCCAAGGACCCCTGGCCTTGATGTTTCCTTGACAATTAATAATGCTTAGTATTTGATGGCCCTTTAGAGTCTCCCTGGCACCATCTGATCTGCCATGGAGATGAGTCACCCTGCTCGCTGGATGAGAATTATGGTGCTAAGAGGGGCCAAGCGCTGGCTTGGACACACCGCTGCAGGCGGCCGAGCTGGGCCGCGAACCCACAACTCTGGACTCCAAGTCCAGCGCTCTGCGGGGAAGGGGGCGAGGCTGCCCCTCGAAGCAGGACTGTGTGTGTGGCAGAGGATGTCTGTCTGCTCAGACCCCAGGCGGCCGGCTGTCGGGACGGAGGCTGCAGAGCCCTGCTCTGGCTGGGCCCCGGAGGAAGCCGTGCCCTTGGAGAGGGGCAGGCCAGGCCAGGCCCAGGGAGAGGACGGGGCCCATGCCAGGTCCTCTATGGGAAAGAACTCTGTCATCCTTCAGTCTCAGTTTGGCCACGAGAGGCTGAGAACAAATTGGTGGCAATGAAGCCATAACTTACCTCTGAAGGCCTCTTTGTTCTTGGCAAACAGAGGGGTCATTAGTAATGGGGAAAGCAGCGGTGTGCAGACATAAATCCCCAGCTGCAGGGCTGATAAACAGCGCGGAGGGGACCAGGCCTCAGGGAGCCGGCAGGTTAACCCCATGCCAAGAGTCACTGTGGGCTCAGGCCCGTGTCCATCCATGTGCAGACTGAGCCACCCCTGCTCTGGCTCGGGAGGCACCCGGAGACTTGGTCACCCACAGTGGCCCTGAGGACTCCCACCTGCTCTGGGAGTCCCCGAGACCCCTGATCTGTCTGTCAAATGAAAAGGGCTGCAGAGCACCTGGGGCTGGAGCAAGCCCCGCCAGGCACTCAGGCCCAGCTTGGGACAGTCAGCGTGAAGCTGCCCTTGTGGGCAGCCCTTCTTCCTGCTTCCAGACGCAGGTGTGAGGCCAGAGCCTTGCAGGCAGTATTCTGTGCAGCGGTGTCTACGCTGGTTGAGGGAAGTGGAGCCGAGGCCAAGTCCCAGCCTTCTGTCACCTGCTCCCCTGGGGATCTGCCCTCCTGCCGCCTGCTGCTGTGGGCTCCTACTGAGGCCAGCTCGCAGGGAGACTGTGCCAGGCCAGGGCCGGAGGAGAAGGGCAGGCAGGAACAGGTGGGTGGCAACAGGTGAGCCAGGTCTCGGGATGGGGAGGGAAGAAAAAGAGGAGGACTGCCCTTTCCTCAAGCTGTCGAGAAGGATTCGGGTGGGATTGAGCAGTGACAAGCAGGCCCGTAGCGGCTGCCCTGCGACTGTGGTCCAAGTGCCACCTTACCAAGGATGGCAAATACGTGCCACAGGCATGGATGGCCCTCTCTCTTTCCATACCCACAGCAGGCCTACCCATTGAATACAGCACGCGGCCTGTTTGGCTTCATGGTCCTCTTCAGGCAGCCATCATATAGGCATGGATGGCCCTCTCTCTTTCCACACCCACAGCAGGTCCTACCCATTGAATACAGCACTCAGCCTGTTTGGCTTCATGGTCCTCTTCAGGCAGCCATCACCAATCAATCAGCGTTGGCATGTGAGAGGAAACCCATTTGTCATCCTTTCTCAAAGCCCCAAAACACATCTGTGCTGGCAGTGGGAATCGAATAAAGCTATGCTAAGTGCTCCAGGACTTCCAGAAGTTTCTGCCACCTGCCCCCACCCTCACACACATCCCCTACCGGTAGGTTCACTTCCTGAGTCTCCCTTCTCATCCTGTTGTTTGCACTGGGAACTTGGTCCAGGAGAGTATGTCGCTGGACACTCATAGGAAGCGTCCTACGGCAACTGTCCCCAGATTCTAAGCTCCAAGCCCAGGCCAGACACCACAGCCTCAGCAGCTCCACCCTCTAGCCTCCTGCTCCAAGGGAAGGGCGAAGGAGGTAGAGCTGGCTTGGGTCATCTGGGAAAATTGGAGAAGACCTGGGGGGTGAAGGGCAGTCGACCGGGCACCCAGCATGGACCTGGAATGGACCAATTGCCCTGCAGGATGGCCTCCCAGAGTCACTGCAGGAATTTCCGGTCTGGCCATGACCTCAGGCCAAGCCCTGGCTCCCTGCTCCCTGGCCCAGAGGCAATGAGATGAGGGGACAATCCCCCACTCAGAGAGGTGTCCCCTGCACTGCTGCCCCCCCCCGACTCCATCACCCTGGGGGCTCACTGGTGCTCCCTCCAATCTCCAGTGCAAGTTCCTTGTCACCAGGAGGTACTGGCTTTACTTCCCAGTTTGGAAAATGCATGGAGACCAGCAGCAGCCTGGGCCACCCTCCTCCTCTGCCCACCAGAGGGGACTCCGCCTCCAGCGGGCGGCTTCCTTCCGCGGACCGGCCTGTCCACAACCTGGCCTAAGGACCACCTGCATCTGACCGCCTGGGCGCTGCGAGGAAGGACCATCCTGGCCACCAGCCCAGGCTACACAACGAGATCTCTGTCAGTGCCAGGGACTCAGCATTTCGGTAGGAGCCCCCGGAGATTCTTGGCTTATTAGGGTTTGAAACCCCACTATCCTAGAGTAACATTCATTCACTCATTTATTCCACAAGTACATGTTGGGGCCTACTCTGCTGGTAGCAGAACAGGGAAGTGGGGTGGGGGGAGCAGAGGCCTAAACCCACACTGCTGCTCTGCACCGGAGCTGGCCTGGCACTGCTCTGGGCCTTGGGTCCCCTGGGCTTAGAGGCACAATAGCAGTCACGCCAGCAGCTACTGGTCACAGGGAGCCCCTTATACCCTCGATCTCCTGCATTTCCAAAGATGTGAGGGGTCTCCCTCCCTCCAGCAAACCCCCAGCTTCCTGAGAGTATTATTAGCTTAGAACAGTAATAATAACAGCTAATACTTACAATACCTCATATACATGAATTAAGCTCTTTACATATACTCTCTTCTGACCTTTGAACCACCCAAGGCAGGTGCTCCTATTGCTTCTGTTTTATGGATGAGAAACTGAGATATGAGACCATCCAAGGCAGTATGTTCAAGATCCCAACCTCTATGTTCTTGGTCACTACATCTTGGTGCCTTTTGAGCTTTAGGGTGAAAATGCCCCCCAATGCCATTCCCTATCCTCAGGGGTGTGGTAGAGAGGTGTGATGGGGTGGACACTGGCCTGGTGGCCTGCCATCCTCGTGGCCATCAGTCCGACCTGCCCAGATGCGCCAGGCTGGCCCTTCACTGCCTCGTGGGCAGAGCAGGGAGGCCATGTGTGGGCAGGGGTGAGAGGACAGGACCAGAGCCAGCATCTGTACGTGAGCGAGCAGCTTCTCACGGAGGTCTCACCAGCTCCGTCTCCAAAGCCACCCGCCCTGGGACAGTCGGACGGAGCTGCTGCTTCAGTCAGTCTCTGGGTGGAAACATGGGCCCAGGAATCCATCACCCAGAGTCTGTCATTGCTCTGCTCAACCAAGAGATCAGGGAGGGAGAGGAGGGCGTACGTGCCTGCCCCGCTAGAGTCCAGACGACACATAAATTTCTAATGGTCAGAAATGTGAAAAGAACATGAAACCAGCCCAAGCAGCTCTATTAGTTCTAAAATGATGTCAAATACCATTTCTTTCTTTCATCAAGTTAGAAAAAACAAACAAACCAGAGTTCCACAGGAGGTTAGATGGGAGTCACCCACGATCCAGGCTCAGAGCCCCTGGTGCAGATGCCTCCGACCTGGGCACTGGCACAGGCTCCTGCCCCCAGCATCGCCCAACAGCTCCAGGCATGTGAGCCTCATCCCAAGCTCCCCTCCTCCCCTGCTCCTTCCTCCTGCAGGCAGTCATCCCTTCTCCAGGCCCTTCGGTTGGCTCTGGGGCAGGTCCCGTCATATCACCGTCCCGCACACCCACTCCCCAGAGCCAGGGACAGCCTGGCCTTACCTGAGACGATGGTGTAGCCAATCCCCCGGGGGCGTCCTTTGTCCTGGTCGATGGCGGTGATAACGCGCACGGTGGTGCCCTGGGTGGGAGAGAGAAGGGACTTGAGTTTGGCTGTGCGGCCCCCAGGCTGCTGCTCTCTTCCTTTCTAGCTGTCCCGGAACCCGGGACCCGCAGCTTCCCTCTCAGGTGGATGCTGCCAGGCCAGCCAGGGGGGGAGGTGCTGGGTGCTCAGGCCTCAGGTGTCCCCCTCGCCCCTGGGACATACACTGAGGCCCCCAGGCAAACACCTGTGTCCTTCGGAGGGGCCCGATCTTGCTGATACTCTCACTCGCCCTTCACCTCCCCATCTCCCATCATTCAGTGAAACTACCCAGGAGAGGAGAGCTGATGGAGGAGCAGCCAATCGGGGTACAACAGATCTGGCTTCTATTTCAATCACCCATCCAATTGCTGTGAGGCCTTAGGAAGGTTGCTGCACCTCTCTGGTCTCAGTATGCCCCACCTTAATACGAATAACAGCAGAAACCCTGGGACCTTGTTCTCACTAGGACCTGAGTAAAGAACATCAATGGTCAATTACTCTAAGAATGAAAGCACCATAAATCCTAAAAGCGAAGGTCTCCAGGGATGACTGTGGCAACCCTGGGCCCTATGAACCATTGTCCATCCAGCGCCGCAACCCGCAGTTCCTACCTCAAATGGCTCTCCCACTCCCCTTGTATTCTCCTTGCAGCACTAGAGGAGGAGGGGCCAGGAGCCAGGACTACCAGGATGGGGATGCAAGGGTCCCTGCTCTTGGGAGCACAGAGTCTGTGGCAAAGGGTCAAGGACATATGCATGCACACTACATACATATGGGGTGCTTAGATACAGAAGTCCACCTGGAGGAGCTAGCAAAGGATTGTACATGTAGCGACAGTTAGGGTGGGGTCATAAAGAATGAGTAGGAGTTTGCCAGGGAGAGAAAATGAAGAGGAAGGCGTTCCAGGGAAAAGATACAGCACAGGCAGGGGCTGAAGAACGGAACTCTCTAGCAATAAATCCATGTGAATGGGCACATTCAACTACCAGTTGATGATTGAATGAATGAATGAATGAATGAGAGGATTCTAATATCACTACCACTTGCTGAGTCACTAGCTCAGAGCAGCCTTCACTTTGCTCCCCAGGCCCTACCACACCGCTGTCCGGCCAGCCATGCCGGCTCACCATGCTGCCTCAGGTCTGGCCCAGGCTGCAGTTTTCCCTGCTCGGTGGACAGCAGGATAGCCCTGTCCCCTAGGGCAGTGATGGTGAACCTTTTGAGCTCGGCGTGTCAGCATTTTGAAAAACCTTAACTTAACTCTGGTGCCGTGTCACATATAGAAATTTTTTGATATTTGCAACCATAGTAAAACAAAGACTTATATTTTTGATATTTATTTTATATATTTAAATGCCATTTAACAAAGAAAAATCAACTAAAAAAATGAGTTCGCGTGTCACCTCTGACACGCATGTCATAGGTTCACCATCACTGCCCTAGGGAAATATCAACCCTGACATCTGCTTGCATAATAAAGGGCCCCCTGGCCTTGGTGCCTCTCACCCACTCATCAGCTGAAGGCTGAATCCCGCAGGCTGCACCCTGCGTCCCCATCTGAGCACCTTCTCCTGTGGCGAGAGGCTTGTTTCCTGACACGGGCCCCCTGACCTGGAGGGTGGGGCACTGGGGTGCAAGATGGCTCCCCTCCAACTCCTCCTGGTCTCACTGCCAGGACACAGGAGGGGCGCCCACCATCTCACCCTCCCCAGCCGATGCTGCCCCTGCCCAGCTGTCACCCCATATCTCCTGGAGCCCAGGGGTGCAGCCCAGAACAACTCCCAGGTCGGCTGAGAGGTGAGAATGTTCCAGGAGAAATGTCTCCCGCAGAAAGATGGACACAGTCCAGGGGCTGAGGCTGTGCAGAAAGCAGGCCAGACCCCTCCTTGGGGCCCCTGCCCAGGGATAGCAGCTCTGGCTAGATCCCTGCGAGAAACGGACTGTTCTGAAGAAGCCAGAGAAAGACACTGTCAGATGAGCATCCACTGGGTGGGCTCTGAGGACCCGAGTGGTGCCAGAGCCTGTGAAGTACCAGCAGCAGCAGGAGCTGTCCTGTCTCGAGCAGCCACGTGGTGTCACGGCTGCCAGTATTTTCTATGTACCAACTCACTTCCCCCTCACAACGGCCGAGACAGCCCCATTTTACAGAGGCAGAAACCGAGGAACAAGAGTTAAGCAGCCTTTCCAAGTGAATGATGAAGCCAGGATTCAAATTCAGGTACTTCGGCTCCCAAAGGATCTTGCCTGCCAGGCGCTGCTGCCTCTGCCGCAGGCTCTGTTTCAGTAACGATAACGGTTATCTGTGAGGGTGGTTGCTATAGTGCTTCTAGACCAAGCACTTCACAAGCACTAACTCAGGCCAAATTTGGGAAAACCTACTTACCCCACACCTGCCTCGGAGATGCCCAACAGGTGTTACTAGGCTTAAGGCTTCAGGAGTAGTCAAGTGGCAAGGAAACCTGGCACCCTTTGTCCCCAGACTTGCTCATCTGAAGACAGACTCTTTCATGTAACTTTTGTTAACAGCCCAGACCCGGGAGCAGTGGGAGGCCGTTTGGAAAGCCCTGCACTAGACTTGAAGGGTCTACACCAACGCTTCCCTACACCACCCTACAGGGAGCTCCTTTTGGAGCCTGCCCTTCCGGGGGTCACTCCTCACTCAGGAGAGGCCTGGATGTGTCCCCAAGAGGAAGCCCTGAGGGTGTAGGACTCTGGCAAAGGCTCCAGCTGCCAGGACAGGCTTTCTGGACTTGGGGACAGCTCCCTTCTTACAGCCTCATCTGGCCTGGGCCACACACGTGTTCTGGCATGAGGGTCCCGGGCCGCCCCTGGTCTGCTGAGGGACTGTGGGGTTTGGGGGGTGGGCATTGCTGGCCTGTGCAAAGAGGATACTTAGTGGCCGCAGAACCCTCAGTCCTCATAGCTGTGCGCGGACCTTCCCTGAGGCCGCTCCTGCACTGGCCGCCTGGCAACCTGGGTGGCAGGGCTCAGAGGGGTCTAGCAGGCAACCCGGCACCGGGCGGCAAGGAGGCTGGCTCCCAGGCAGAGCCACACCTGAGCTTCTACAGAGTCAGATCTAAAAGGCTCCCGACAAAGTTTGGGATTTCATCTCTTTTTGGGTAACTAAATCCATTTTTAATAAAACTCTGAGCTTTTAATACAAGTGCAGCCACAAGGACTGGCAATGTTATGAGAAGGAATTAACAGGGAGGAATGGGGGCTCTTGGGAACCCACGAATCTTGTTTCAGATTATATTTTCAATATACTGAAACTTATTTCCAAAGACGAGGAGATGGAGAAGGAGGCCTCCGCCTGACCCGGAGCTGGGCCCCTCTCTGGGGGTGCACCAGGGTGTGGCAAGGAGAGCAGGTGGGCAGGCTCAGGAGGGCTGGAGGTGGGGCTCACCTGGCATGGGCTTCTTCTCCTTATAGGAACCCGCATTGTGAGGAGGAGGCCTCTTGGGAGGCCCCCCAGAAAGGCTGAAGGTACATGGGCCTGTGGAGTCCCAACTCCTTGTGGTGGGAAGAGCAGTACAGTGAGAGGGTTAAGGTTTAACTCTATTGCCAGACTGCCTGGGCTTGAATCCTTTGAGTTACTTTACCTCTCGCTGCCTTGTTCTTCCCATCTGTAAAATGGGTATAATACCAGTTCCCACCCCTCAGCAACTGACACATGTAAGGCACTTGGAAGAGCTCCTGGTCCACAGCAAATGCTATAAAAGTACCTGTTGTTACTCACTGGGGCCAGAACCGCTGTGAGCATCCTATGCAAGCTGAGGTGCTCTTCCCTGAATGCATGTGCCGTTCCAAACAATGTTAGCAAATTCAGACTCCCCAGCACCCTACACTAGTAATCCCCACCATAGAGGTAAGGCGTTTTCTGAGGGAGAGCCAATATTTGGGGAGCACCTACTATGTGCCAAGCACGATGCTGGGCACCCAACACAGGCTCTCCACCTTTTCCTCACAGCCTCCACAGTCAGGGTCCATCTGAGGGAATGGGCTCTGAGGGTCAGGGATTGCTTGAAGTCACAGGTGGGTGAGCATGCCTGGGGCGTGGAGGGCAGTGTTGGGGTGGGCCTGGGTGGGTGTGCCAAGGCAAGGGGTGGGTGAGGGCTGAGAGGCAGCCTCACTCACCCACCCATGAGGCCTGCTACCAGTAGGGTCATCCGAGCAAAGGCCAGGAAAGCTGAGACTTCTCCAAAAGGAACGTGTGGCTCCCCTGCTCTCCGAGGCCTGCCTCCTTCCAGAGACGCGGACCAGGGGGCAGCTGAAGCCAGCACCCGGGCTCTGCCTGCCTCCATCCTGGTCCACCTCCCTCTCTCCCCTCCCCTCCCCCCGTTTCACGACAGGATTAAGGACCTGGAAGGGGGAGTCTCTAAGGAGGGGGAGGTGCCCTTGGGGGGAGCCCGGTGGGGGCTGAGGGGACTTCCGACCAGAGCTGCCACAGCAGATTCTGAGGCAGAAAATCCTATTTCTCAGTTCTTAATTCCAGTCAATTCCAGTCAAAGGGCTGATAGGCATCGGCCGGCAGTAATTTGTGCAGTTTATCCGCTCTTTTCACCTTCTATCGGTCCTTCACTGACGGGCAGGCTGACATGCCGCTGCTCGAGTGAGGAAATTAAAATTTGATGCAATAATCCCAAATAAGAAGGATTTTATTAGGTAATATATACACTTTAGATGAGGCATGCTGGCCTGATACTGTGATAGAGAGAGGCATACATGCTGGGAGCCGCAGATAAAGAGGGAGAGTGGGCCGGGGTCCGAATGGAGGCCCCGGCCAGCAGAGGCGAGCGAGGCCGGGAATGGGGCCGCCTGGGTTCCCCACCCGGGAGGCTGAGCAGGCCAGGCCTGGGGTGTTCTGCGTTCAATCCGGGCTCCACACTGTAAAGGGACGTGGAGGGCCTGGATCAAGGCACAGAAACCAATTAGAAGCCTGGAAAATCAGGCTCGGTGCGCGGGAATCGCCTATAGCAGAACAGCCCTGCAGGGGGGCTGGGCGCTGGAGGGCTCCTTCCACGTGGGCGACAGGGAGGAGAGGCAGGGAGTGGACGCAGAGATGGCTTGGTGGCACTCGGGAGCAGGGAGAGCCCCAAACCCCCAGGAAGGAAGGCTTCAGTGTCCTCGTGGAGACAAAGGGACAACCCAGCAAGGCAGAGAGATCTCAAGATCCCTGCGCCCGAGAGAGAACACATCAGATGTAAGAAACCGAGCGTCAGGAGAGAGGCGCTAAGGGGAGTAGGTGTCCCTGTGTGCCGGGCCTGAGGGTCACCCTAGCAGGAGCCTGTGGGATCATAGGAGAGGGTGTGGCTTAGCACAGGGCCCCGCACACAGGAAGGGCTTAATAAACATCTAGTTTATTAACAAAAGTGTGAAACATAGAATGAATAAATGGATAAACTCAGAAATCTGCAGATCTGGAACAATATTAATATTACTTGGCTACGATATAGGGATGACAGAACAAAACACACTGAAGGGTCTCAGAGGACCCGCATTGTCAACACCCTTCTTACTGGCTATCGGGGCTCTGAGATGAAGCTGAAGAGGGGACCCCCAGCCCAATCCAACTTCTATACCTGAGGACCGGCTGACTCATAACCACCGGGACTGACCGCCTGCAGTGCTGGTGCTTGCGGGACACCTGCTGGGTGCTCTACCCGAGTGTGCTAAGCCCTCAGGCGAGAGGGGCACCGTGGACACTGTTGGCCCGTCTCCCACGAGGACGCAGTCTGGAGACTGGTGATGTCGCCAAGGCGAGTGCATGGCTGCGCAGGGACCTTCTCCAAGTTCCTCTGGCTGCCCAGCCACCATCACATCCTCACTTCAATCAACAGGTGGTTCTACCCATCTTCTCTGCATTTGGTCCTGGGCACGATGCCCTGGGAGACCCACAGGAAGCTTGTGACAAGCTCCAGAGACTCGGGTATTTTGATCCCTGGGGGCTGTAACGTCACCCACTTACACATCAGTGAACATTACAGGTGTGACTATACTTTAGTGGTAAATTAGGTAGCACAGGGAGTCAATTCTACCGGAGCTGAGGGGAGAGGGATGGCTATGTCTGTGGGCCAGTGAGGATGAAGCCAGGAAAAAAAAATTAACAAAGGTGGTCAGTGATCTGAAAACCAACAGATGCATGGTCTTTCACATGAGGGGTGATGACTGGGGTGAGAGGGCTGGTATGACTCATTCGCTCATTCGCTCATTCATTCATCCATCCATTCATTCCATAAACACTTCCTGAGCATCCATGTTGTGCGATGCCCACAGCAGACCCCAACCCTGCCGAGATATACTTTAAGTCCATCCGAGGAGCAGAGGCGGAGCAGCCTGTTTAGAATCATGAGAATTAAGATGGGGTGTCCGGGGCAGAGGGCAGGCGGGAGGGCCTGCCTCCTGAAAGGTCAGGGAAAGCCCCTGGCTGAGAAGACGTGTGCTTAGCAAAGATGTTTTGGAGGAGACAGCCTTCAGGCTCAAAGGCTGGAGCCTCTGCTGTCCGTGGACCACCAGGGAGAAGGCTGTGGTAGAGGCACTGAGACGCCCCCCTCCACCCTCAAAGCAGCTCAGACACCCTCTGTAGGAGGCCAGAAAGGGTCTTGTTTGTTGGACCCTTCAGTCCATATCTGGGCCCAAGAAGGAGGTGGCTACCCCTGCACACCCAGAGGCTGAAGCACAGTGCGATCGTTGGGCCAGGCCGAGTCTCCGAGCTGCAGGTCAGGCTGCCTGGCCTGTGGTGGCCCAGGGGCGCGGTCTGCAGCCGGGTCAAGGGAGGCCCGCCTCTCGCGTGCCCGATGCCGAGAGCCTGTGCGGATGTGCAGGCGGGGCCCTGAGCATCCACTTGTATGTCCTTCCTCAAAGCCCACTGAGTCCCCTCAAAAGGAAGGGCACGTTTTTCTTCCCACAGGAGCTGCTCCCCAAGCTGCATGTCCGGGGGATTCATCTGCCCAGAGCAGCTGCCTTTTCCTAATTCATCGGCCCACGGCGGGTATCTTGCCCAGTTTGCACAAAAGCACAGATGGCTACCAGGCGAGGGGTGCTGTCACTGCTCGCCTGGCCCACAGCTGAGCGGGCACAGGCATGTGTTTTGTTCTTAAAGACACCCAGTTGCAGTGGACTGAACCAGAGGAGGCACGTGGCCCCAGGGCAGCCAATCTACAGGCTGGTTGGCGATCTATGACCCTGTGACATGGCACAAAACCCTGAGCACAGCTAATCAGGTGTCTCTCCTGAAATCCAGGGCTTGAGAAACCTGCAGCCTGAGCCGCTGGGAGGGGCAGCTGGAGCAGCGAGCTCTCGGGGAAGAGCCACGTCTGAGAGGGCTTGCGAGCAGAGGGCACGCTGCCGCCATCTCGGAGCAGTGTCCCTGGGCAAGAGAAGTGGATGGACCCATGGGCCTTGAGAGATAAGACTGAGCCACACTGGTGTTTCCGTGAGCCTGGCTGAGTCCAAAGCTGCTCCCAGCCCAGGCTGGGCTTTCCAAAGGTGTCCCATCACCCACATACATCTTTCTGCATTGCCCCCCTTCACTTGCCCTAGCAAGTCTTTGTTCTTTGCTGCTCAGAGCCCCTGGGGATGAAGTGAGGTGGGGTATTGAGTGAAGAGGGAGTTGGGTTTTCCCTGTGCTAGGACACCCATCCCTGCCAATCACTGGGATGGGGGGAGGGGGGGCGGAGAGCAGGAGAGCCAAGGAGGAACCTGTCCCACCGGGCAGGAGGTCTCACCGGAGGAGAATGCTCATAGATGTTGGTGCTGTAGGGCAGGTTGATGAAGATGGGGTCCATGTCCTGGACATCTGTGATGATGATGGCCAAGTTGGCCAGGGTGGACAGAGGCCTGGTCTTGTCTTGATCCTAAGAAGACAAAAATACACAGCCTTAGGTGAAGTGATGTTGTGGACAGGCACACATGCACACAATACACACATGTGCACACATGACATTCACGTGCACAAACATGTGTGCACACGAGCACACATGTGCTCCTGCACTCCCACAGGGATGTGGAATTTCAAGAACTCAAGGACCCACACTGATCTCTGACCTGTGCAGGAAGACACAAACAGCCCCCCAGAGCCCAGTGAAAGGTGGTTAACCCAATGTCGCAAACAGGCTGGAGCGGAACTCGGTCTCCTGCCCTCAGCCCAGCCTGGGCCTGACCTCCCTGGATATCTGGTGGGTGGGGCAACTGGCTTGGGATTCACCCAGGGGGGCGCTGCTCCTTTCCATGCCCACTTTCTGCCCCCTCTTATCCCCGAGCATCAACATCAAGGGAATGACTAGGATGGGGGTTCTTAGGAGAAAGGCCCTTGGACCCCAGAGGGGCTGCTCTGGGACCTGCATCCCTACTCTGCATTCTGGTTTACTGATCAAGTTATGTTTCCAGTTGAACCAGTAGGGGGAGCTCCAGGGCCTGTGACATTGGGGGACTCCAGGAAGGAATCCCGGGAGGTCACAGGCCATCCCCCTGTAGCCAGACAGGCAATGTTTATACCCTCCTGGTTAGCTGGAAATGTAGTCCTGTGAATGCTCACCAAGAAAGAAAACCTGAAACCCCTATTTTATTACCCTAAAATACACAGCCCACTTAAAGAGCCCACTACTATTGAGTAACAATAGTTAACAAGAATAGCAGCTGCATGCTGAATACAGATTATATACCAGGCGCTGTGCGATCACCGCATTTGCTTTTGTGGGTGTTATGTGTGTCTCAGTCAGTTGAGTTTACAGACTCAGAAAGGTTATGTAACTTGTCCAGAGTCACACAGCTGGTAAGTGTGTACCCAGGACTCAAACTCAGGTCCTTTTGACATAAAAATCTGCCCTTCACTCTCTTGATGTGGGACCCTAACATAGCTCAGTCCCTGACTTGCTGGGTCACCTTGAGTAAGTTCTTTCCCCTCTTGGAGCCTCCGTTTGCTTTTCTGTGAGATGAAATGGCCTCTATGGACCCTTGGGCTTGTAAATTCTCTGGTCTGGGAATTGGGGAGCAACTGTCCTGGGCTTAGACTTGCCTTGGTTTGTCTGGGGTGACCTGAACACACACGGCATTCCCCACATCACAAACCTAGTGCCTGCTCCTGCCCTCCCTGACTGAGCTGGGGAGCCTCAGGAAGGAAGGGCTGGCTGTTTAAGAGTCCTCAGGGGCAGCCAAGGAGAGAGTAGAGGGCCTTCGGGGATGAAGAGTGTAGCAATGGAGGGGAGAGTCTGGAGGCAGGAGGAGCTGGGCAGAGGGACTACGGGGAGGCAGCTTCCCAGGCTCCAAGACCACGGTGTCCACAGCCTAGGCTGTGGTGAGAGCTCCCAGCCAGGGACCCGAATGGCCACCAGGCAGACACAGCCAGAGGAGGAGGCCTGGCAGGAGGCCCCTTGACCTCTTGGGCAGGGGCTGCCAGTGGTTCTGATCTGCCATTACCAGGCTTTTGCTGGCAGCTGGCTTCGCCCATCCTGGCACCTGCCCTCCCCATCCCACACTGTAGCATCAGTCCTGCTCCTGCCACAGATGCCCATGTCCAGCCCACACTGGACTCCATGGCTGGAGACAGGGAGTGGGCATAGCTGGCAGGGCAGGCACCTTCCCAGGCTCCCAGCTGTCACTCTGGGCCTTCAGCTCTCGTGCTTGGCCACCTTGGTACCCACCCAGTGGTGGCTGGAACCCACCCTGCTCCCTGCAATGCCACATAGGAGAATCTCCTTGGGGAAATGCCCAGCAGCCAAGGGCACAGCACCAGCCCCGAGAGGGATCTGTGAATGGGAGGTGGCGCGTGGGTGTGGGGTGGAGGGAGCCATCAATAGCAAAGGGAGTCCTGCACCCCTCCTGCTCTCCCACGTCAAGGCCTGATTGCTGGGAGATTAGCAGCAATTTAACTGTATTCACCAGCCCAGCTTGAGAGGCCCCGCCACCCAGACTCATGCCTGTGCCCAGCTCCGTTCTCTCCCCCACCTGCACGAAGCCATTTATACGGTGGATGGAAATGATCGCATAAGGACAAGCTCATAGTGAGAAGAGAGCAAGCATCTGTGTGTTTCTGGGCCCAGGGGTGGACAAATGGGGAGTGGTAGGAGGGGACCACCCACGTGTGGGTGCAAGGGAGTGCGGAAGGGGGCAGGTGGGTGCAGAAAGCGGCTTTTGGCCTTGCTAGTGCCCCAACCCCATAAGTCAGCTTTGCAAATACCAGCACACACCTCCTCCCTGACAGCTAACACTTAACCGGGGAGAAGGAAGGACGAGGGTGTTGTCTGCAGTGGCCTCTCCAGGGGCCGTTGCATCTTGACCAAGCCTCGGGGAACCTCATCTCTCAAAATCAGGCCCTCGATCCATCCAGTGGGTCTTTCTCAGAGATCTGGGCTCTGTGACCGGCCATGTGGAGCCCCCAGTGCTACTGACAGACCCCACTGCAGCGACATAGATCCAGGGGCTTGATGCTGTGTGTCAGGCAAACAGGTCCTGGAGGGTCAAGAGGGACCCCAGTGATTTGTTTCACTCTTGGCCTGAGCTTTGTAAAAAAGTCTGCTCTCCTTGCTACCAGCTGAAGGCTCCAGCTGTACCGGGAGGCGGTAGCCGGGGGCGGGAAAGAGGAGAGTAGAGGGTAGGACTATTTAGGGTATAGCATGCCTGTCCCCAGGGCCCTGGCAAACAGCGGGCGACAAAGGAAAATGACTGATGTTCTGGAGACTCAGAGACTCTTGGTTGTGGGCGCTGGACTGGGCGTCAGACAACCTGGTTTTGGGTTCTCATTCCTCCCTACTCCTTGGCTATGAGTCTCAGCAGTGTGAGCCCCAAAATGGGATAATTATTTCTCTCCCGCCCCCCCTCCTGACGAACTCATCCTGGAACTCCCAGGGCCCAGCCTGGTGCTTGGCACAGATGGGTGCTCCCTACTGTGTGAGTGTCATCACTCTAGGGAAGTGGCCAGGACCCCTCCCTCTGTCTCCGGTGTGTTGGGTGGTGTCAGGACACAGCTGGGGTCACAGCTCTGTCCTGTGTCCCACGGTGAGAGGTCACCCTGCACCATGAGTGCCAGTGCAGATGCTGGAGCCCAGTGGCCGGGGGACTGCGGACAAGTCACCGAATGGCTTCTGTACCTCAGTTTCCTCATCTGTAAACTGGGTCTCTTTATAATGCTTACGACACAGGGCTCTTGTAAGGTTTAGTGAAGACAATCCATTGAGTGCTCAGCACAGTACGAGGGACACAGCACGGACCCTCAGCAACACGCGCTGCCATGATGAATACCATCACCGGCATCACTATTCCAGAGCCTAGAGTCGCAGGCTCTAGGTTGATGCTCTGTCACCCCCTTCACAGCTGGGAAGAGGCCATATCTGGCTGTGGGGCCCCGGCACGGACTCACCGTGGCGTTGACGGTGAGCTGGTAGGCCTGCGTCGTCTCGTAGTCCAGCTCCTGGATCACCGTGACGATGCCGCGGGCACTGTCGATGGCGAAGAACGGGGAGGGGGGCTGGAAGGAGTAGAGGACGCTGCCGCCGGCACCCAGGTCGGGGTCTGTGGCGTTCACGATGAAGATGGGCGTCCCCACCGGTGTGTCCTGGGGTGAAGCAAAGCAAACAAAAGGGTGAGTGGAGCTCGGAGCAGCTGCCTCCACCGCAGACTATTCCCCCAAAGCCCATTAGCCACGGCCCTCCAGCCAACCAGACCACGGCCTTGTCGTTTTTATTCTAGGAGGGTTCAGAGGAATTTAAAATGCAGTATCTCTTTTCCCCCTTTTTTGATGGCCTCCTGGTGGCTGTAACGGCGCCAGTTCCAAAGATGATCTGCTCATCCTGGAGTTCTGGATGAGAGCCTTTCGGTCCCCAACCCCTGCTTCTGGGCAGTTTCGCTTCCTCTGTTGAGTGCACCCCGGCCGCCCAGGCCTCAGGTCCAGAGTCCACGTGTCGGGAGGTTTCAAGGGCAGGGAGTGGGGAGGTGTGTGCTACGGGCATGTGGCGGGGCCCTGGGGGCTTTGCCTGGCACCACAGAGGTTACCCGGCTTGCCCTGGGGTGGGGCACACACCTGCCACCCCTAGGCCGTGGCAGCCTGCCACCAGAGGGGCCCACCAGGCCTGCTCAAATGTCACCACGTCCTGGGAGCCCCCACGTCCTGGGAGCCTTCTGTGATTCCCTCTGCCACTCAGTGTGTAGAGACCCCTGCCCCTTTCTGACTTGGGGTCTCTGGTTAAATGCAACTTCCTCATGGAGACTTTCCAGACCCCTAAGGCAGGGCAGCCCCACTCGGCCCCACCCGGGCCACTGTTTATGCTCAGGGTCCCGCAGCACCCTGGGATTCTCCGTCCCCCACACTTCTATCATTGCACAGTGAGTGTCTGTCTTTCCTCATAGCCCATGTGCTCCACGAAAGCCATGGGGCATTGCCTTGCCTAGCACGGTGCCGGGCATGTGTCAGATGTTCAGTAAATGTCCCTTAAGAATACACGAAGGAGCCTCTATGACAGCACTGAGCACATTATATTACGAGTATCTGTTTGCACCAACTGTCGGCTTTCACCACGGCAGTGCCCGCCACAAGGCGTGGCTGGTAAGCCGTGCCTGCTGACTGTTGGGTGAGTTAATTTATTCATAATTTAGTGAGCTCTGGACACATCTGAGGACAGGCAATCTAACGAGGCCCTTCACAGAGACAAAAAGGTAAAAATCTCTGCTCCCGCTCAATGATAGCTATAGGCCAGGTCCTGTGCTGGGGACTGCACCTGCCAGCTCTGCGGACAAGCAGCCTTCGAGGTGGGAGCCACTATCCTGTTTTTGAAAAGAAGCTGAGGTCTGGAGAGGTTACGTAATTTGCCCAGGGCATAGAGCTAGGCAGTGGGAGGCCTTCAGTCCAGGTCTCGCCCATGGTCTCAAGCCCTATGCGAAACACTTCTAAAATACTGATGGCAGTGCCTTCCCTAACGCTTCCCTGTGGTGCCAGGGACAACTGCCAGCGTGGGTGGCACCTCCCAGACAGGAAGGTGGGACTGGCTGTAAGCTCGCCGAGGGCGGACACCGTACTTCTGGTCCTCTGCGCTCTGTCTACACTGGGACAGTGACGGGGTCCCTTCTGACACCTGCGGGCTCTTTTCAAGAAGAGCATCCACATCGCTGCCCCTCTCCCTGCTGCCGGCCACGACCTGGGCCCTGCGTCACTGCTGTGAGCAGCTTCTTTCTTTGGGGACCAGGCTTGGGCATGCGAACAGCCCTTCCCCAGGACGACCTGCCTGAGAAAAGGGTGTCCTTAATAAGGTCTCTGGTCAGGCTGGAAAGGGCCCCCAGGGGAAACGCCATGGCGCTGCCACTGTTTCTAACCCACGATTCTGTCCATCACCAGGCAAGTGTCAGGCTCAATGGCCAGGCTTAGCACCTGTCCTTCCCCACCCAGCACTGAGGACAGAGGCAGACAGGGAGGCCCCTCTCCTCACAACACCCATGACTCCCCAGCGTCCTGTGCGTAGAAAGCAGGCCCTCGTGGTCTGGGCCTGTCTCCTTCACACTTTATTTCCTGGCAGGTATGGCTTCTTGGCCTCTTCGCTAAGATCATGCGCAGCATCTTATCAGTTTAATAGTTCCTGGCAGGTAGAGTCTGTACTTCTCAAACCCAGCAGGCTCCCTCACACGTCTGGGTTCCTGGACCTGCTTTTTCTTTGCTCGGTCTGCCCTACCCAGCTCCGTGGCTTGGAAAACAGACGCTCTCCTTCCCTCAAAAAATAGAATCAAGTGTGCAAGGGGGCAGAGCAGATGAATGCTGGGATTTCAGGGATGGACAGACTTCGGTTGGAACCCGAGCCTTGCCGAGTGTCTTTGGGCCAGTTTCTTAATCTCTCTGACCCTCAATCCCCTCTCTGTACACTGAGGTTAATAAGGTGTCATAGGGTTCGCATGAAGAGCACAGGAAGTCATGAGTGTAAACTTCCCAGCATCTAATAAGGGCTTCGAAGATGGCAGGTGTGATCTTATTGCCGGACACTGTCTAGAGGACTGCGGACGAGCACCTTCAAGGACAGGGCAGGGAGGTGCCCAGAAGCACTATGCATTTTCATGACACTGCGCTGAGCATTCCTTGTCTGCACCCCCAGACCCACTGAGTACCCTGTTCTGCTCCACCTCCCCCTCCATTTGCCCACGCTAGGGTGAGCTCATTGCATCCCCAGGCTCCCTTGCCGGCTAGCTTCTGCCAAAGGGGGGTGCTGGTAAGAGCTCAGAGTTTGGGGAGGTGCCAAGAAGAGAAACAGGTTGGGGTGTTACTTCCCCACTCCCCCCAGCTCCAGCCCCGCAGCCCCTCCTTCCTGGCCCAGCTGTTGGTGGCCTCTGGCAGCACTAAGCCCTTCCCTCCCTCACTCAGCCCCAGGGTTAGTGAGAGCTTCCCTCTGCAGCTAAGTCTCTGGTACCTTAGCATCTCTTAGTCCCTTAGCCACATCCACTCCCCCCCTGAGCCCCCAGCTGCAGTCTCTTCACTGAAATGCCTTTGTTGGAACTATTTGGGATGAACTGTTCCCTGGGGGACCCTGATGGGACACTTCTGACACACACCCCACAGAGGCACCGCCCAGAGGAGAGGCACGGCTCCCACTCCAGAGAGAATGTCAGCTGTCCAGCCTGCTGCCCCGGGGAGGAGAGGACATTTCACCCGTCCGTCCGGTGTGGTCTCTGCGAAGGGTCTCAGAGATCTGATCAGAAGATTTAAGAGCAAGAGCCAAGAAGATAGAGGAGAAGAAGAAGGGATGGTCCTGTGTCTGACCTTCTTGGCTTTTATGTTTCATGCCCTGCAGTGGAAACCCATTTAATTTCTGCATAACTTAGAAAAGGTTTTAAATAGGCCTGGCAAAGAGCCATCGTGTTCTTAGAAGGGACGAGCCATTGGAGAGAAGAGAATGCTGACTTCCTGCATTTCAGGTCCCGGGCGCCATGCTCTGTTAGGGAAATGAGGTGTGAGGGGACAGTCATCAATCAGCAGGTGCACCGCGGGCTCCTCCGAGCACCCAGCTGCTGTTCCATGGCGATGTGCAGATGTGCTCACAGGTCCACGCAAGCAGATTTCCGCTGTGGCGCCAGGTGCGGCCGGGTTTCCAAGCTCACCGCAGGCAGTGAGACTTGGTGGCTCGGAGCGTGGACGCCAAGTTTGAGTCCCAGCCTTTCCACTCACTTGCCGGAGCCCTCAGACATATGCTGTTAAACTGACTCATTGGGCCTCAGTGTCCTCACGTAAAGGAACATGTGAAAGTGGAGCTGATAACAGTACCTACCGTGTAGGCTTGAGAGAAAGATTACATGAGATAAGGGGGAGCGGGGGAAGCTCGCCGAGCCAGGTTCACAACAATATTGAGCGATACTCCATAAATGGTCGTTGTAATTATTATTATGGTAATAAAATACCATCACAGGCAGCCTGAGATGAGCCCTGTTTAAAGAGGGTATTAGAAACTGTAAACAGTCAGTCTCTTCATCATGAACGTAGACAAACGGGCATTTTTAAAATTCAGAAAGAGAACATTTCTATTGACTGCCTCACGGTTGTTGCAGACAGGGTCAGGGTGGGAAAGCCTCTGGAGACCCTCCCACGTGGGTTTGGGGAGCCTGTGGGAGGAGGGGTGGGATCTGAGCAGGGGTGGGTGGGGCACCTGGAGGACAAGGAAGCTCCCGAACACAGTGGCTGGGCCTGACCAGGCCCCTCCCAGGGAAGGCTTGAATGTGAGAGCTGGCAGGAATCTTGGGGAGTATCCAGTCCAGCCTCCCCATTTTACAGATGGGAAAAGTGAGGGGATGTGCTTTGCACTGAGTCTCACAGGTGGTTAACAGCAGACCTGTGCCTGGAAATCAGAGCTTTGACTCCTATACAGTGTTTTTGTCACCTCCCCCAGAGATGCCAACCACTGCCTCCCCTCTCACCCTCCTTCCAAGTAAAGGTGCTCTTTATACCCACAGCTCTCTCTGCTCCAGGGGAGGGACCTAGGCAGCCATGTCTATACCAAGTGACTCCAGACCCAGGCATATCTGCTTGGTCCAGGGGTGACCACCTGACTCTAACAGCCCAAGCGGATGGGGTGTTGGAAGTGAAATCAACGTTCTGTGGGGACCTGGAAAAGAAGCTTCTTGCTGTCTGGTTAGGGCTGGTGTGGGCGCCATGACAGGTCGAAGCCATGCAGAAGCCACGGGCAGGCAGAGGAAGCCCATCTTGGAAAGAGTGAGCACATGAGGGAGAAAGGCAGAGATGAGGGGCCCTGGGTGCCCCCTGCCTGGTCTTCATAGGCCCTGGCTGTGGTGCTGACACCCCATCTATTCTGTCCTTCCTGTGTGGGTACCCCCTTTGCCCACACTGACTTCCATAGGTCTCAGCCCCTTCCTCTCCCCAGGGCCCCAGAATGCATCCAGCCCCGGGCAAGGCGTCCTCATTCCTGCAGCTCTGCCCCAGGCTCTCCCTTATCCTCACCGGCTGGGACTTCCTCCCTTTCATGCCCAAGGCTGGGCCACAGAAAGCAAAGCTCCTGGCCACAGAGCCTAGACTGTGAAGGGCATAGGAGGTAATAATGGGGGAGGAAGAAAGCGGCCTGGATGAGTGAA